AAAAAAAAAAAAAAAAAAAAAAAAAAAAAAAAAAAAAAAAAAAAAAAAAAAAAAAAAAAAAAAAAAAAAAAAAAAAAAAAAAAAAGAGGAAGAAGGAGAAAAAGAAAAAGAAAAAGAAGCTGTAGAAGAAGAAGGACTGGAAGAAGAAGAATAACAAAAAGAAGAAGGAAAGGAAGACGTGAAAGAAGTGATGGAAAAGAAGAAGGCGAAAAAAAACAGGATTAAGAAAAAACGAGAAGAAGTATAAGTGGAATCGAAGAAGATGAAGCGGAGAAGATGAACGAAGAAGATAAAAGCGGGGAAGAAGTATAAGAAGTACAAGAAGGGAAAAAAAAAAACGTGGAGGAATCGAAGGAAAATAAGAAGACGAACACGAAAAAAAAAAAAAAAAAACTTTCGTACGAAATACAAGAAGAAAGGAAGAAGATGAAGTAGAGAAGATGATTGGAAAAAAAAAAGCAGAGAAGAAAATAAGAAGAAGAAAAAGAAGAAAAAGAAGAAAAAGAAGAAGAAGATGAAGAAGAAGAAGATGAAGAAGAAAACGAAGAAGAAAAAAAAAAACAAAAAGAAGCGGTGAAGAGGAAGAAGAAGCGGCGTAGAGGAAGCGACAAGGTGGAATAGTATATGAAGTAAAAAAGAAAACAAGGGAAAAAAATAAAATAATAATAACAAAAAACCCAATTGAACACCGAATTGCGTCCACAACACATACGCACACGAACACGTACACGCACACACACGACCACACTCTCACATACACACACCTGCGCCCACGTGGAGAAAGACAAATCAGCGACACAACTCCAAACGTGCGAGCGCATGCGTACAACGGAATCGCGATGGACGAGGCAGCACACCCACAGACACACAACGGGAGTCACGCAGGCACGCACACACAGTCGTTGCGGAACTGCAATGGCGCACTGGTCTCCCGCGTCGCAACAATGTCACGTTCTTGCCAGCTGCGGTGCATGCAGTAGGTGCAGCGGATGGGGAGACAAGGTGACAACGACTCTGTGACCACGCGAACGCATACCGACAGTAAGACGCAACACAACACACAAAGCCAAAATACCCACGCAACACCACGCACGAAGGCAGTAAGGGCTCCTGCACCACTGCTATGTGACCTTAGCAAAGCAATGACGGCTACGCCACCGTCGGCTGCGGTGCAGGAGGCGGGCGGTCGCGGGCTGGGTATGACGGCCGACGAAAAGAACACAGGAAGGAGCCAGGGTTGGGTTTGGGGTTCGTGGCGATGGCCGACTGCCGTATCACTAGCTGGAACGGAGGGAATGTTACCAGACGAATGGAACCCTAGACGGGGGGACCGGACAATAGACCACAACAAGTGTTTTCACATTCGTATATATCGATAGTACAACGACAACCGTAATGACCAAAGAAAAGAAAAAACCGTGATCGCAAAATTTTTTCTTTTTTTTTTCGCCTCAGGTCTTCCTTTCCCGCCAACACGCGGAAGTCTGATAGAGGCTGTCGGCCGGCCAAACACTGGACCACCCCGACCGTTTCGACGGCCGTCGGTGCAATCCGCCGTCGTCCGCCCTCTTCAGCCTGGGCCCTTTGTTCCGTAGCCTGGGACTTTGGGAGATTGGCTGGACAGGGCAGCTACTTGCCTAAAAACCCGCCCTTAACTCACAGGGACTAGGGGTTTTCAGTGGCAGGGGGACCGGTGGGCCGCGGCTGATAGCTGGGCCAAGTACTGGTGATTTAAATTCCAATCTGCATTGTCTTGACCCAACCACGGCGCAGCACATGTTCCCGCTCCTTTTGCGAGCGGGAACCGGAACTGTAGGGTGTAGTGGAACGACGCTGACCTCGAGTATTTTTTAAACGTTTAGGCTCAAGGGCGCGTGTAGGGCTGCCCTTGAGAGGCTTTTTTTCAAGTCGAGGGTAGTGGAACGAGGCCCTTTTTCACACAGGTGAGTCGTGCGGCGAGGCCCTTGCTCGCCAGTCACCTATGGACCTGTGAAACGTTGGCAATTGATAATCGGACAGCCGTAATCATGAAATTATATCAACACGCCACTCCAGAAATGGAATCTTTTTTCCATGCGGGGAAAGTCGCCCGCGCCGATTCGATCCCCCTGTCCGTAAAGGCTTATCAGTACTCGCTCCAGTGCTCACGAAATGTGCGAAACGAGAACGAATATCCGGCTAGAACATGGGAAGATACAATGCCATGGTTTTTGTCTTTTGTGCATGTGTTGAGTAGTGGAGCGAGGCCCTTCCTTTCAAGTGCGCAAAGAGGAAAGGAGAGGCGCGCCAGAGCGCTTAAGGTGCCCTGGCCATGTGGCTGATAGACGGCCCCGGCTCGAATCCCCCCGGGGCTAGGTCCCACTTGCACGAATTAAGAGATACTGACCGTAGATAGCAAAGATCGACGGCCGAAATCTCCTAATTGCCGCAAGTGGGACCTTGCCCCAGGTGACAGCATTACGAATCACATGTGTGAAGAAAAGTGAAAAGGAAAAAGAGCGGGGAAGCGGAAAAAGGCCAAAAAAAAAAAAGGCCAAAAAAGAGCGGGGCGCCCTCGACGCCTGTATTCTCCCTTGAGCTCCAGCAATAAATATCGACCGCCTACCGTTGGGTTGCGTCAGATCGGTGAAGGCCGGAGATGCGAGATATTTTGTTTTCTCGCGCCTACCGGTAGTAGCTGTTCGTTTTTCTGTACGAAGTCGTTTCTCGTTTGGTCGCCAGTTCCTGCTCTCGCGACTTTCGTTCTTTCTCTTCGAGAAAGGGTGCGTCTTGTAGCTATGTCGGATACGGAATACCGGTGTTTCGTCGGTGGATTGGCGTGGGCCACTGACGATGTCTCTCTTCGCAACGCCTTCCGCGGGTGCGGGGAAGTGTTGGATTGCAAAGTCATTCTGGACAGAGAGACTGGTCGTTCTCGGGGCTTTGGATTTGTCACATTCGCGGACGAGAAGAGCATGACCAGCGCCATCAACACGATGAATGGAGCAGAGCTGGATGATCGCTCGATCACTGTTAGTCAAGCTCAAGCCAGAGGAGGCCGATCGGGCGGTGGTCCCCGCGGAGGTGGTGGGTACGGAGGCGGAGGTTATGGCGGCGGAGGCGGCTACAGCGGCGGAGGTGGCTACGGTAGCGGGGGCGGCGGCGGATACGGCGATGGCGGCTATGGCCGGCGTGGTGGTGGTGGTGGTGGATATGAGCGAAGCTACAACGATCGCGGGTACAGTGGCGGAGGTGGTGGTGGTGGATATGGTGGTGGCAGCAGTGGAGGCTCGTGGAGGAGTGACCGCGGCCGCGATTATTAAGTCTTTCCTCTAGTCTTGAACGATTTG